GCACACCTATAGGCCCAGCTGTTCAGTAGATTGAGGCAGCAGGATCACTTGAGCCCAGGAATTTGAGGTTACAGTGAGCTATGATTGGGCCACTGCATTCCAGTCTGGACAATAGAGTGAGGCCCTGTCTTGAAAAAATAAAGAAAGAAAGAAAAATAAAGTTTTATTTTTTAAAATTGCACTGACTTAGCCTCAACTAACTCATCTGCAAAATGGAAGGTTAATTAGATGATGCCCAAGGGAGTTTTGAGTCCCCTAACAGTCTGTGACTACAAGAATATCCTATCCTGGAGGCCAAAGAGGGAGCAAGGGAAACAAGCTACAATCGCCACCATCGTGATACAGTCATGGTATTGATAAAAGGCAGGCACCCAAACAATGCAGAAGGCAAATGCCTCGTAACATGGAAAATTCTTCAGCTCTATTGTCAAATGAGAAAAGAAGCTACAAAGAAGTATGGTATGATTTCATTTTCGTAAAATAAATACGTACATAGAAAAAACTGCACTGATACCTGGACAGCTTGGCAGACCACATACCTCGAGACACCTAGCTGTGTGATTTCATGGATTTGGGGGATACCCAATATACATAGTATGATTAGACAGAGAAGAGAGAAGATGCAGAGAGCTTTGCAGCCACCTACAGCTATTTCCCCTCGGAAAGGCAGGCTGCTGAGTGAGTCACGGGAAGATGTGCAAATGTCCACCCACACTGCCTGACCTTCAGTGTCTCCATTGCTACTAGAATAGGGGCTCCAGATACTGAGTCATCATGTAAACCACAGTTATCATCTCCTGAGTCAGGCTACTCAGAGAAACGTTTGACTGTATTGTCGCAAAGTCATTAGCGTGGTAACAAAAGTGAACGTCGGGCATTCAGACACACAGAAACAGACAGACACCCTGTTAGAAGTGGCTGGTAAAATCCAGGGAGCAAAAGGCTTAGTGTCATTCTTTAGTAAGTATTCCTTCTCCAGATGTAGTTTTCTATTCTGAATTTTCTGCCCAACCTTCAGTCATATTTCTGAAAGAAGTCCAAAAATAGATCCTTAATGTTCCCAAAGAATCCTGGATGCCTCCAAGATTTTAATGTAATATTATTGCCATGTACAGCTCACCAAAATCTTTAGTCACACAAGAAGTATTCCTGAAAGTAAAAACAAACAAACGAAAAATATTCCTTAAAGAAAGAACAAGAGAGAATCGTTAAATATAGGAAGCGTTTGTTTTCTCTGGCAAAGAACAAGAGCACCCCCATTCTAAGCTCTCACAATAGCCATATGGCACGTTACAAATTGGCCCTTGAGTTAGGCTAAGAATTGGCTCCATCGCTTACTAGCTGTTGAACCCTGGTCAGGCACTCTGTGCCTCAATCTTCTCAGCTGTAAATTGAGCAAAAAATAAAGTGCCTACTTCACAGGAGTACCGTGAGGATCAAATGAGCACGTGCTTCCAACTACCCAAGTGGAGTCAGTGGAGGTGGTTGTTACTACTATTATCATCATAATTAAGACTGAGGGAGCTGCTAAGCTATGTATCCCATGCACACTGATGTACATTAGAATTTAAAAAGCAACCATTTGCTTGTAACAGAATACAGAGAAGGAAAAACAGTAACTTGACAGTGGAGAAACCTGGCAAACACTACCTTAACTAAGTGATCAAGGTTAACTTCACCAGTGATAAGAAATATTGACACAGGGTAGCTCCTGATAGGATACGACAAGAAAGGCACATCACCTCTGTGGTATTCTTCCCCAAAATCCATAACTGCAGTCTGATCATCAGACTAACTGAGGAGCACTCTACAAAATACCTAAATAAGTACTCTTTTAAAAAGCATCAAGGTCATGCAAGATACAGAAAGACTGAGGAACTGTCAGATTGGAGGAGACTAGAGAAATATGACAACTAAATGCAATGGAAGAACTAAAATCCCAAATAAAGTATGTAGTTTAGTTAATAGCATTATACCAATATTAACTTCT